GGGGAGAGGACCCTGTTCTCATATCTTTCAGCCCTGCACAGATGACTCAGCAACCTTTGGGAGCAGAGCACACTGATCCAGATGCTGCCTCCAGCGAAGACCCTCCATTCATTTGAACCAGAGAATTGGGTTTGGATCCAGCCATCCACTAGAAAGTCACCATGCAGCCAGAGTGGAACAGATCTTCCCAGGTCCTACATCACCCAGATGCCTGTGAAAGCTGAAGAGAAAGAAAGGACTCCTGGAGCGATTGGCCCCCATATAAAGCCTCAGAAGACAACTGGAAAGACTATGGGGGAAGGGCAGAAATGCATTGTAAGGTTTTCTTTCTTGCCTCATTTATGTTGTAATTAGCCAGTTGAATGGATTCGTGGAGGGATGGCATTTGGGAATGGTTGGCACAGCAAGTCCTGAACACCTTGGACTTCTGCCTGGTGTGAGGGAAAATTTATCCAGGATGTTTGTATTGCATGTCTTGTAGAAGTAGACACACACACACACACACACACACACACACACACACACACACACAAACTATTCAGAATCACACTGAGGCTATCCCTTTCACCTACCTTCATGTAAAGCTGCCCAGGCTGGTTCTTGCTCTATTGCACTAAGGCCTTTGCATGTATACCTTCCTGCAAATTCCATGGGGGAGGGGCATGTCCTCACTGAGGAGGTAGCAGAAAGGAGATCTCTAAACCCAAGCCTTGAATATGTTGCACTGGTGGTCTCATTAGTGGGAATCCTAGGGCTTGCTGTGTACAATTTAAGAAATATTAATAGCCTGGTTTGCACACTGGCTAACCTCAATTGGACATCACAACTCCTGGATGCACTAAACTAAGAGCTAAGACAGGTTCAAGAAGCAACCCTTGAAAATGGGTAGCCAGTAATTATTTACTAAGGCAAATTTTGGGGTATGTGCAAACCTGACTGAAAGCTCACATCTAAAAAGAAGTGGCACAGAATATTGAACACTATGAATTTCTTTTCCACCTAACAGAACTTTTGCCCTGGCTTCTAGACCTTCATGGGTTGAAAGCTTCCCTTTTGGGAGCCACTGCAGGGATCCTTTTCTGTTGCCTCTATCAGTGTCTTCCCCTTTGCATTAACAGTTTAAAAGCTTGTTTGCCCCTATAGAAGCACCCATCAAGTCTCCCTGACCAGATCAATTCTTAAACTTGTGCCAGTAAAAATGTGTCACCCACACTTATATGGCACAAAGGGGATTGTTGGAAGTCAGCATCCACCCATTCTCCTAGAGAAGGAAATATTTTGGGGAAATTAAAAAGGCAGAATATTATATTACATTCCTTCCCCAAAGGAATAATGGGGAAAAATCTTAGGCAGAAACCAGCTCCCAGTCTCCTTCCACCAAGCAGAAATCAGCTTTTAGAAATGCAGATTTGGTAATTCATTTAGGGAAACTGGGGGAGGAAGGCTGGTGCTAAGGGGATTAGAAAAACAAAGACTCCAAGACAGGAACATGACCTTTAGGACATAATAGGATTAGCCCACCATCATTAGAATACCAAAAGGGTACACTCAAGCTCAGTTCAAAGTACATTGCACAGTAACAGGAACAACCTCAAATACAAAGCCCAAAGAAGGTATAAAAACCCATCAACTCCTAACTCCATTTTGTCAGCCACCCCAGAAACATGCTGTATTATTGACGTTTCTGGTAATTAAACAAACAAGAACCTTCTTTCCCAAACAGCCTCAATTTTATTTCCAGTGTCTTAGCCTCCATTTTGTTTACTCCTGGCTTGGATTGGACCTGATGATCTTTCTTTCTTTCTTTCTTTCTTTCTTTCTTTCTTTCTTTCTTTCTTTCTTAAATTTTCTTTGTGTTACCATTTTTACAAATACTTTTAGAGCTGTTCCATTATAATGTAACGTATAGCAATTGAAGTGACAAAACTGCCATCCCTACTGTTGGTGTCCCAATTTAAGAATAGCTAGAGATTTAGCTGGGTTTCATTTTTTTTTCAAGTGTATGTTATCCTTTTACTTAATTTTTAAAAAAAATATTAACTTGCAAAAATACAAAGTTGACAACTGACAACTAGTTACATTTACTACATTTATTTGCAACCATAGATTTTAGCAAAATTCATATAAAATTACAACAATCTATATCAGTTTAATTCATACCCCCTACAATTAATAGTACTGTCAAAATTGGCAGTCATTATCTTCCTTATAGCCATTTCAAACAATACAGCTTGTTTTCTTTTATTATACATGTCTATATAGGTCAACTTGAAATAGACTTTTTTTACTATGCCAGATTAAGCTGGGTTAACAAAAGCATAATAAATCTACTATGGCATAATAAAGGCATAATAAATCTACTATTGGTTCCTAATATAATTTGCAGTGGATCAAATCTTTCACCTATTACAAATACATAAAATGGTATATAATTGGCAATCCTTTATATCTCCCAACAAATAGGCTGATGGTATTGTCAGAAAGCAAAGTTGTGTGAAAGCTTGTCTTAGGGTGATGGGATGTGAGAGATGTAAATAAATGATATTCCTTTTTCATCTTTAAGAAATCAATATTAATTAGCCAACTGAAGCTTGTGTACGTGCTTTTTATCTTCTCTAAAATCTTTAAATAGTTATCTTTAAATAATAATACTCTTTAAATAAATGCCTCAGTAATGTATGGTAATTTATTCAACGGTTGTTGACCTATTGGAAATTGTGAGAATAGTTTTAAACACAAATCTGCTCATCCACTACTGTTGAATTTTTTTGTGGCGGCATTGTCTTGCCAAGTGTTGGGTATGAAAACCTGTCTCCTATAATATGAAATTATTGTTTTCTTTACCCCTATGCACATCAATGGATGGCCCCCTTCTAATTTCAATACCACTGCTGTTGTACTTAAGGATAAACCAGAACTTATGTCACAAATTTGTCCTGGACCATCTCTAATTCCTCTGGTTCACTTAATCCTCAGATTGGGATTCCCTATGTCTACTATGAGATCTCATATTCTTGCACATTATTCTTGCTATTATATATTTTCCATAATAATGTTTAATGAAATGGACACTCAAATGTGTGAATGACCTCACTTATTCTACCTTCTTAAAATCTAGGATTATTTGCCAAAAGGTTAAAGTCTCCTTAAGCCTTTTGGCAAATAATATGATGGCTTCAAATTTATTTACAGCTATTCTTTTAAAATAATTGCCACATTCTGTTAATAGTCTCATTCCAATTAATGACCGACAACTAGTCAAATTCCCATGACTGCCTGATAAACACAGGTGGACATAGGAATATATTTTCTGTCATCTGCAAGTGGAAAGAAATAGCATTGATTACAGTGTAAACTACACTAACATATTATGAAAAACATTACAAAATAAATGAATTAAAAACTACAGACTTTTTGTTAGGTGCAATTTAAACTATATTCTTAAATCTTCACTCATGAAGAAACAGGGTGGTGGTGGTGGGGCAAACTTGAGGCTGTGCAGAATGTCTTGGTTTGCACCCCAAAAGCCACCACGGCATCCATTCTATTTCCGTCATGCAATTACTGCCCCTCAAGCAAGCACTTAATTTCTACCTGTTTGTTCTGTTTCATGCCCTAAGCTATTTCTTTCCCTGCTTTATTTAAATTAACTAATATCCTCACTCCTTTTTCTATTGAATAAAAGACATCTTCAATTTTCAAAACTGAGTTTCTGCTTCTTCCAATGCAAATGAAAGCATCAGGAATGACAGATTCTTATAATAATTAGGATTTGGATAAAGACAATAAATCATAAGGACTGCACGTTTTCACTTAGTCCATGTAAATATTGCTGCTCACTTAGCAAGGTAGGACTTTGTAAAATATTGTTTTTCCTTGACTGGGGAGTCTTTCTTTTCACAATCTATTGGAGGTGTCATGTGGTTTGCAATTGACAATGACAGTGCCAATTTTCTATCAGAGATACAAACAAAAATTACATTGCTAAGGAAGTTAAACAGCAAAACTTTGAAGTGTGATCAAAATTTAGATTGCACTGGCCCCTAGAGGTTAACAAGAAATGTTGCTAGTATTTCCTCATGAAAGACTTCCTGCTAAAGCTAAAATCTTTGGGATAGAAAAAAACAGCCTTTGTTCTATCTGAAGTATCTATTTTTATTTCAAATCTGCACAGCTCTACGTTAATTTATATAATATACTGTCTTTCCCTATGGGTTTATTTAGCTTGGAATTGTCAAATTAAATGACATTATTGTAACTCTTTACTTCTGATGGAACTATTTTCTTGCTTTGTGTAAAGATAACATAGAGTAAATGTAGCTTTACAGTATGCAAAACATGTCACCAATCTATTTTCCCAGCATCTAATTTTTATTGAATCATCTACTAATAATAACTAGCTAAGACACCATTAAATTATATTCAATCATTGGCTCTTGGACAACTTATGTGGCAGTCACTACCCCAAGTGACTTTTATTGTTCCCAGGCTTTCAATTTAAAGACAAAGTCCTCATGAACTGTTTTTATTTTCAATAACATTACAGCATCTATACGTTCCTATACAATAAAAATTCAGACTAATTGCAGGTCCCTTGCTTTACTGATTTAAAAAGCGAAAGGTGAGATGGTGGAAATGCACATTCTGAAATGCCTAGAACCAATGACAGGGAGCATTCTCTTAGGAGGTATCTTCTGAAGACTCCGAAGATACCCTCATTTTGTTATCAAATTACAAATCCCAAAAGGTTGAGAGAAGATAATATAGCTGATCAAACTTACACTGTAACAAAATAACGGGTTTGTCCAGACACTTAAAACTACAATGAAATAGTCTTGGTCATGGGTTGTTTTTTTCTTATTAAGCTATCACCCTCGGCCTTTCTTCTTTAGTCATTCCTCTTTAAAGAAACTGACAGTGTGTGGAGTTTTCTGTTGAAAAAATGTTATTCATAACATATCTACATTCTTCAGTAGAAGGAAAAGAAATACTTCATCATGAAAAATTTGGTAAGCTTTTTAATGGCAAGATAGTGATGCTGAGCTACATTTTTTGATTTTATGCCCAGGCATTAGGAGAAGGCACCATGGACAGGATTTCATTGAATGAGCACTAATTTTAAGCAGGTTAACCAATATCCTTCTTCTTTTTTTGCAATATATTTTACAGGTTTTCAATCTCTAAATAATAATAATCACACTGAAGGATTACTCTTAAAAGGTATTCTTTTAAAAAAGGAATCTGTAGCCCTCCAAATGTTGCTGAACTACAATTTCTAAAACACAAATAAAGATGCCAACAAAATGATGAAAACCTGCCTCCCTTCCTTAAAATTATAAACTTGAATATGCAATGTATTTTTGGATTCTAGTTAATCAAGGATGTATCTAATTATGCTGAGGTAACTACTCTCTGTATCATAAGTCATCTTGTTAAAACATAAAGAATTCAGATATATAAAGAGCACCTTCTTGTGCATAAATATTCAAAAGCTTTTGTTGCACTTTATAACTTTAATGCACTTATTTGTTGAAGGACAGTTCCAGCAATCCTCCACCAGCCTGGACAATAGTTGAGAGTTGTTCATTCATTCTTGTGACAGAGGTGCTTTTCTTTTTCCATGTCTTTGTGCTTGGATCAATACATGTATTATAAATAAAAGATAAAGTCAATCAAAACCAACGAATAGTTAAGTCAAATTTGAAAACTGAGGTCTTTGAAGTGCAGCAATACTGCTATTCATTGTCAAATAGCATGATAGAAAGGGAAACTTGAAAAGAAAAACTTGCCAGTCAATAATCTTATTAAGCTGTTTCTTCTGGTGCCTTCTCAATATTTTCAGATCCAAGACAGTTCCTCTATCTGTTGAAAGCTAATGACTATTTTCCATAATTATTCTAAGAAAAATGTTACTCTCAAATCTGCCTTGTAGTTTCTTAGTTTTTTTCCCCCCCGAGAAAAAAAAATAATTTTTTTTAAACTTTATTCTCAGGGTGCTTGACATTTTCTTCTGCATTTCTTTTAATTGAATTTACTTTATTGTTGCTGATGAAGGATGCTTCTTTTCTCTCACACATCTTTCCGTAATCCTGAAATAACCCTGGATGTCCACATTTTCCAATCTGACAAAGCTCAGTGGAGTTCTCTCATGATGTCTTCTTCCCTTAGAATTTAACTGAAGCATGGAAAGACAGGGAAGGCTGCAGACCAGTGAAGATATTATCGGACAATGAAAGAGAGGACATTCACATTTACTCCTTGGCCATCCTGCAATGAAGTAAATCTAAGAATATCACATTCCAACCATGAGACTTTTGTCAAAATCCAATTATCCTTTGAAAGAAATTTCAAACGCAAAGTTTCTTTCATTAAGAGAACTGATAGGTAAGAATTGTAGAAAAAAAATTTGGCATGGAAATTTTTGCATCTTTTGAAAGAATACAAAATTAATTATAACTAGTATGAAAATGGCTAATCACAACTATTCTACATTCTTTACAAAGGATTTCTATATTAAAACATCAGTCTTACCAAATAAGCCCATCAACATGCAAATTACAGATCAGTATCTTCCCCTTTGTCCCTCCTGGCTCTGCTGTTGAATGGGTTATGGGAAGGGAACAATAGAAATCACAGGAAAATAGGTCTGCAAGAACTGTTACACAGAAAAATCTGTATCACACAACAGAGGTTCAAACAGAAGTTCTGTTTGCACATGCATTGCAGGTTTTGCACATGTATACAGGTAGTCCTCAGGATACAACCGGTCACTTAGCAGCTGTTCAAAGTTATTGCAGGTTGCTATATAAACCTACATAAAAAGGAATCAGCTTCTTGCTGCTGGCTGTATGCTGCGTAGGTTGTGCTCTAGCTGGCCGAACTTTTTGAGTTGAACTTTTTCTTCAGCTCCTCAATAAAAGCAAGATGCAAAAATATTTTCTTTGCTTGCTTGCTTTCTTGTCTCTGCTCTTCAGCTTGGTAGTTATTCATTATGGTAAGTAACTTACTGGTTTTGTCACCCTTTTTCTAGGCATGCAGTAAATTTAACAAATGAGATGGTTAAAAAAGATTGAGATTGGAGGGCAGAGGTGGAATTTAGTTCCAACATTAATGGGGAGGGGGGGCAGATCAACAAGTCTGTTCCTCCCCCTGCTTTTTGATATTTTATTGAAGAAATGTGGGTTTCTGAAGGAGGGAGAGGTTAAGCAAGGAAAATATTTGGGGGAGCTCTTCCTGGGTTTCCCCCAAACCCTAGCAAGAGCCTGGAGATATTTACAATCTCACGCTGGCTAGCTGTTCAACGAATCTGTTCCTCTGCTGGCTTTTTGATGTTTTCTTTATTGAGCATGACTTAATTGGCCAAACACTGAGACTTGTTTGAAAGCCTCTCTAGCAATGGAATGTGGCACTCGGCCCTATTCTAGCTGAATTCTTTCCCCGTTGGGATGTTTTGGGGTTTACAGAGCTTTTTGCTGCTTGTCTTCCTCCTTTATGGACCTAGCTCAAGCTCCATTAGTCTGAGGACTACCTGTAACTAGCATAAAAATGTAGTTTGACAAAGAATTTCCTAGGCATTTAACTGGAACTTCTGATCCAGCATTACCCAAGGACATCTGAGTTGTTCCTTCTTGGAACTTTTTTTCTTGGATGAACCGTTAATGAAGACAAAGAGACACAGCACCACTATAAATGGAGTAATTGCCAAATAAATCCTACTTCTGAAAAAGGGCTTCTGATGAATCTTATTAAGCATTAGTGAGGAAATAACATGAGCAGTATTAGTTCCCTTTGGTGACTCTTTCCTCCCCCTGATGGGAGAAAGCAAAGGGAAGTTGAAAAGTAAATTGTTGTGTCTCAAGAACAAGAAGCAGGAGAAGACAAAAATCAAAGAAGACTAAGCTAGCAAAGAACAGACCAATCCAAGCAGAGAATAAAATGTAGTGCAAATCCAAGTTTAGACAAGTAGACAGATATGGTTGTTCAGTAGGGTAACTGAATCAAAGGATTTTCTTCTCCCTCTGCACTATTTTCTTGTCGTGTATCTTTCAGATTCTCCACCAATTATCTTTATTTATCTGTTGAATTGTTGCGTGCATATGAAATTGCTTTGAAAGTTCAATATTCTAATAAACAATATACAATAAAACATTTTAAAAATTGTTAGATTTATTTGCTGCCTATCTCGCCATGAGGTTATTCTGGGCAGCTTACAACAATAGAAACAGAGAAATGAAAAGAAATGTAAACATAACAATAGCAAAATAATGAAACAATAAAATAAACAATGAAATGAACAATGAAAAAATAGTGCTATAAGAAGATGGTCTGGGGTGAAGCAGGAAACGCAGAGGTGGGGGCATGCCATCAATCCAGCAGCCACCTCCAGTAGAGAACTCCCCCATTGGGTTCCCAGGCCAACTGGCAGAGCCAGGTCTTCAGGCTCTTGCAGAAGAAAAGGGTGGGGGCAGATCTCACCTTGGGAAGGGGGGGGATTTAAAATGTTCCATGTTCCTATATTAATCATTTCTCACAATTAGCTAATTTACTTACATTATTTCGGGATGACAATTGTAATGCAACATAGTTAAAGGGCTACGAAAAATACTTCTGGTTGATATCTAACTACAATATCTTGAGACATTGTGGAAACTCAAAATCAGTGTAGGGAAAGGTCACTGGATTCTCTCATGCCTTGGTACTAATAGAAATTCATCTTAGCTCATATTTGTTACAGAGAATTAATGTTCCTATTATCTACTCCTCTCTTCAATAAATGCAGTGCTCAAATATAAAACCTGGATAGCACTGCTTAGTTTAAAGGCTCTGGCTTTCAGTAAGAATTAGATTACAGAAAGTTGTAAATTGTACCTAATTAGAATTTTCTTCTGCAAACTCTTAAAACTTTCCTTCAAACTCCTCTTTTCCTTCCCACTTTGTAAAAATCTTATGGTTATTTATTGATCAGCTCAGGCTGTTATGCAATATTGGTTGATATCAATGGATGGACAAAATATCACAACTCAGGAAATCTTTCAGTAATGACTGGACATATTTTGCAACAGCATTTTCAAATACTGTACAGGTAGTCTTTGACTTAGGACCGGTTGTTTAGTGGCCAAGGTTATGATTCTCCAAAATGACCCAGTTCTTAAGTTCTGACAGGCCCCCCCCCATCATGTAACAGCACTTCATGTGCTTGGCCCACATTTTATAGCCATTTGTACCATCCTGCAGTCACACAACCGTGATTTACATTTTTGCCAAAAGCATTTACTTCCAGTTTTTGGCAAAAATATCCCATAGTGAACAATGAGTTTGCTTAAAAACCATGGTGATTCACATAACAACTGACACAAAAAAGGCTGTAAAATTGGGTGAGTCACTTGGGTGACCTGCTTTAGGACTGTCATGACTTATGCCCATAATGGACATAATGTTTGTAAGTCAAGGACTACCTGTATGTCACTTTTTTCCATTCTTAAAATGAATGTAAATATATATTTATTGAGAAATTAAAATGAGGCAAAAATGCTTCCTGTTTTTAGTATATCAATCCTGATTATCAAACCTATTTGTTTCATCTTTATCTTTGCACGCTTGATTCTATTTTGGTCATGTGTATGCGAGGCTGCAAAAATCTAGATGCTCCCTTTGCTATGGTCTAATAGATATCTGGTTTTTCATAGACCAGATATGATAGTACTGTATAACTGAATTTTGAGAATATATAGCAGATAAGTAGAAAGCTCGCTAAGAGCTTATTTTCATACTGGCTTTGTTCAAATGATACACTTGCCATGACTGCACAGTTGGCCTAACTATAAAGCATACAGAACATAAGCTAATCACATGGATTGGATTCACAAATACTAGTCAATAAAGTACTTGGCTAATTTGTAGTTCTAGGTCCTTAAAAAAACAGCTAGCAGGTAAATTTATATCACTTCCTAGACTGAGTATGATTACATGTTACTTTTTCTTCTAGTGCCCTCCTCCTAGCGTTAAATAGAACCCACAGATTTAAATTCAAAACTTTATTTCAGAAGTTTAAAGCTACTGCATTATGTTTACAAAACTTCAGACAGATGTGAATGTTAATAATAAAATGAATTATCCAAAAAGCTCAACTCTACTTTGATTACTCTGAATTGTTAAATAACAAATGATCAAAAGACAAGAATTAACTTTTTTAAATGTCTCAAATGTGTGTATGTGTGTATACACACACACAAAAATTGACAGTGAGATGATGCACAAATCACGCTGAACTACAATGCTGTTAAGAGTTTGGATTAGCCAAGCTACTGTTTACAAACCATGGCTATACAGACCATACTGCAACACGTGAACCCAACCAGTAGTACCGTATATGTTTTTATAGAAGCAGGTAACATAGACGATTCCTATTTTAATAGTGCTCCCTGGATGAAAACTTGCTTAACATAATCTGAGACTTTCTTCTTAGCTGAATATATGGGTTGAATTATTAAACTATGATCAACATAATTAGAAGTAAATCTTATTGCATTAAGTAAGACTTACTTCCTGTATGCATCTGCAGATTTACAATGCTAATTTTGTTTTAGAGACCAAACATAGAATATAAACAGTGTTGAAGACAGGAGCAAAAAGCAGTGTGGTATACTTTATTTTGATATTTTGAGCCATTCATTCTCTCCCGGCTCACCCACCACACAGGGTGGCTGTTATGGGGAAAATAGGAGACAGGAAAATTAGGAATGTTTACTACTTTGAATCATATATTAAAAAAATGGGGATAAGAATAAAAACCTTTAAAACAATCTTCAGCAGCTACAAATTCCAAAAGAAAATACTATCCACAAAAACCTTTCTTTGAAAATAGTGTTGGCAGAGACAATGATATCAATCATTAGAAATTATAAAATTATTCCTTTATTAAAGAATTTAAAATATATCTTTGTTTTGTAAATATTAAGAATATTCTTTTTCTTCTTGAAAAGTCATAGAGATGAACAGCTATGCTTATTTTATTTAGGAACCCAGCTGTGGGTTATATCTGGATAAAGAGGTGAATTCATGGATAAAATTTTGATCAAATATTTTTGTCCTTTTTTAATATGGAAAACTGCTTTTAATTGTTGGTAAATTAATTTACTGAGAAAGCTACAGAGATACAACTTTAAAAATTGTTTACATTTTGTAAATGCTGACATCACATATTCAAGAACTTTGAACCAAGTGATATAAACAGGGATTATGAATGTAACATTGACATGGGGTATCAATTAGACCAACTGAAATGCAGAAATCAAACCCAGGTCTTAGAAAACAGATGAAACTGTTGGTTAGGAGCTGCCTAGATATATAGCTGGGTTTATGCTGCCATCCAAGAGGGAAGCCCCTTTTATATATTAGAAGATGAAAGGTAAGGAGCCGACCAAGAGGCAGTGGACAACCACCATTTAAACATTGAGGGATGACACATTTGATTAGCTATGGAAGAATCAGAAAGACAGTGACAAATAGAAGAGCTGCTTCTAAAAAGTGTCACAATACAAGAAAGCGATGCAATGCATGGAGTGGTGCCAATTACACTATCATCCATGAAATATTGCATTGGTTATGTACTACATGTAGTTCAACATCAGCTCTGTAGAGAACTCCCAAATCCGCTATTGATTTATAGATTTTCTACTCTGTAGGAAGTGAGTGGACCTGGGAGGGATAATCTGGCATCCTTTTTGGGCCAATGATTACATTTGGAACTTGAAAACACACTGTAGAGCTCCCATAAAATCAGCATGTTTGGTCACAAAACACCCTTTTACCCTTTTAATGATGACATTACTCCCAAGACACTCTCAAGTTTGCATTTTTTTTCCATAGGCAAGCAGAAACATTTCTGAAGAAAAAATCTTGGTTGCATCCATGCACTATTTATATTTTCTAATCATTATATAGGGATAAATTAGAATTATGTTAACAAAATAAAATCAGTCAGAGGAATATTAAATATTATGAATATTAACAGAAGAATTCCCAGGAAGTTTGCTGTCTGGTCCTGACATTAGATACTGAAAAGTTCTATATTAAGATTTCTCCAAGCCTGATATTTACTAAAAGGCAAACCAATAATAGTTTCCTCATGCAAAGCAGTCACAAAAGATAATTTTTACTCACTGCCACTTCTTGTATATATATATTTAGAAGATAAGGAGTAAGTCTGTATTTTTAATTTACTTTGTTCTTTGTTAAAGCAAGATTTGACTGCTCTTTAGAAGGCCAGATCCTGAAGTTGAAACTCAAGTACTTTGGCCACCTAATGAGAAGGAAGGACTCACTGGAGAAGGGCCTAATGCTGGGAAAGATTGAGGGCAAGAGAAGAAGGGGATGACAGAGAATGAGGTGGCTGGGTGGAGTCACTGAAGCAGTAGGCGTGAGCTTAAATGGACTCCAGAAGATGGTAGAGGACAGGAAGACCTGGAGGAACGTTGTCCATGGGGTCATGATGGGTCGGACACGACTTCGCAACTAACAACAACAACAACAAAAGCAAGATTTGAGTACGTATTTGATAACAAAAATATATAAAACAGATCGATGTCAGTTCTGTTTTGCCTCTTGCCTTTAAATTAAAATTTTCAGAAAAAATTTATTTTAACAAAAACCTGCATAATATTCATGAACTGTTTAATCTATAAGGATCCTTCTGCAATAATTAAATAACTTAATTTAATTATCTATTGATATTCTGGCCAAAATTAAGTAAATATGATTAGACATTGGATATAATGCCTGTTCTCTCCTACCGACACTAATATTTGTCTCCATCCATGTGTTAGTCCCAACTATAGTTGGTACAGCCTTCATTAGTGCTATGCATTAGTGTTATTGCAACTTTCAGTATTTTCTAGCTAGAGTCCATAATAATTCTTGGAACTGCAATCAACATTTACATTGTAAATGTTGTACGTAGACTGTTACTGTGAGCATGAATTTTTAACAAAGGTTGCAAATAATTTAGAAGCCAACTATGAGGAAACATGGCCTGAGTTATAATAATATATCAGTGTTAAACCAAAATATAGGAAGGAAAGGAAAATGTTTTCAGGAGATGGATAAAGGTGTATGGCATCTCCCAAGGCTTTTAGGAACTGGTAACGTGGGCAACTTTGATGTTGTCGGTGAGCTAAGCACTGCAGAGTTTAAGTCTAGCATATTAAGAAGGGTTGGGCATGGCAGGAATTTGGGAAACCACTTTCACTTTTCAGCAATCATGATCATTGTAAACTGCAAGAGTTGAAAAAAAAGGACACATACAATTTTGGAGCTGGAGATAGTGCCTCTGTTACAGATTTTAATAAAAATAATAAATCCCTGTTTAAATATTTCCAACAAAAGTTAGGGAGACTTGGGAATGCATTGTTTGATGGCATGCTATCAGTTTGAAACATGATCCTTAATCTGTAATACTTCTTTAAAAACAAAAGTGAGAAAGCACACACAGAGAGAGAGAGAGAAAGAGAGAGAGAGAAAAAGAGAGGGGAAACCAAAAGTGCTGATTGCATTTATTCTCTGCATGGATGGTCCTTGGTAAGGGCCTGCAAATATTTAACACACTAACCTGTTCAACATTCAAATCACATTAAGATCAGTGAAATGTTAATCCTTCTATACAAACAAAAATGATAATAATATCAACAACAAAAAAAGACAAGTCCGTGAGAGAAAAAAAAATCTAAGTTAACAATGGCAGAATGCTACCAAGACAACATCATAAAATATTAACTGAAGCAGGAGTTAATTCACACCACATCTTAGCAAAGCTCATCACAGACTTTCAAAAATAATATTGCTGTTTTATTTTTAAACTTTGGGTTTGGGTGTCAGGTTTTCCAGTAGGATGTGCTAATTCAAAAATGCTAATGCAGAAGCATAAGACCCCACCTGGTAAGATAATATATATTTTAATTCCTCTGAATATTACTGCTGACTGACACCCATCTGCTGGGGATCAGCTTCGGCCTCGTCTTCTTCCACATCTGCATGATATTCTTCAAAGGCATCATCTACATCTGGAAGCCCCAATAGCTATTTGTAAAGAAGGAAGAAATAAACTATAAGTGTAATATGAAATAATGACATGAGAAGTATAATTTATACTCAAGAACATACCTGAAAAAATATTTGTGGAATGATATATTTCAATTTAAAATGAAAAGAAGTGTCAAGTAAGTGGCTTGCAGACACTGATTTAACACTTTTCATTTATAGGAAGCAAAACTAGACTAGATTCTATTTGAAGGCACTTCCAGACAAATAGCCTTTCTCTCTCTGAATCTAGCTTTTAATAAAATGAAAATGAAAACTATTTTGACCAGTTTTGGAACTCTTTTGAATAGAAAGATGAAAGACTGGCTAAGTCACAAGTGGCGGAAAAACATCAAAAAGAACCCATGAACTTGCTTGCAAAATTTCAACATCTATTAGTTAATCAAGGCTTCTAAAATCTAACTCTGTAACTATCTGTTTCAGAAAAAGTTAGCCGAGAAAGAAGGCAAAGATGGCATGGTTGAGGGATGTTTGCAAGAAAACAGATAATTTGGTAAGTGACTAGTCACAGCATAATTTTATCAGTATGCTTCATCTCACTCAAGGAATTTTACCCATTACGAAGAATTTTAAAATATTTGTTAATTCAGAAGCTGCAGCCAATTCTAGTTCTCTGAACAGACATTCTAAGTAAAATACTTAAGTCTGCAAACACACTTGTTTGTTCTTAATTTGTACATTCAAGGACATTTTAAAAATCTCCATATGAAAAAATGCAACAGACTTAGAAACCTATTGCTGCTGAATTATTGGTAAATCTGAAGAGGCTTCAGATATCAAGAGAAATATGAGCATTTCCAGATGAAAGATGTATAATTGGCCTTCAAATTATAAGCACTGAAGTTTGCTTGAAATATAAGAAAAAAGATGGAATATATGTTTAAAAGTACAGTTATAAAAAATAGAAAGCCCAACACTGTAACTTTTTTGATTCTATACTTTTAAATTAAAATTCAATTGAAGAAAGAGACTGAATATATGCACAAATGTCTTTTCAATGACAGCATCAGAAAACCTCCATATGGAAACATCCCTGAAAATAAATATCCCTGAAAAACCATTGAAATTATCAAATTAAAACTATATTAGTCTAATACTCTAAATCTGTATAAAATAGCTACATATATTTTGAGCTGGGGAACAAAAAGTTAATCCATTGTTCTACTGATAGCTATAACTATATCCTACTTGAATTTTTAAGTTTTCCATGAAAATTAGAATATGTAAATATTCTGAAATCAACATTTAACTTATATTTGTGAAGTAATTTGCAATTCAAAACTTGATTGCAAAAATTCATGACTACATTGGGCCAATTATACACAAAATGTGTGTGTTGAATTCATTCATATAAAAAAAAGAAGTCATGATTGAAAAATGAATAATAAAAATTAGTGTTGTTTATTTCTCAGTCTTGGCTTCTTTTGTATGAATGACAGATTAGGCAGCCCAATGTTTCTTGTTCTTTTTAAATGAAGCTGCTGTTTTTATTTACATAAAAAACACTTTCAAGTAAATGTGCTTATAGTTATGTTTATATTGACAAGTCTTTGAAGTCTTGCTTAAGTACTATTTTCAATAATTTACATGATTTTGAATCATAAAATCGTATCTAAAAGTTACACATTCTGGGCCAAAGTTTATTTTCCTGCATTTGTTTGTCTCACACCAATCTACTAACATAGGTAGGATCATTTGAGGAATTATAAGACTACTTACCTTCCATGCTATTTGTACCTGGAAAAGATTTTATTATTTTGGAATAAATAAACCACAAAGAGCTAGAAAATTATTTTGTTAATCTACTTTGACTGTTTTTAGAAGTATGGAAGGATAAAAAAATGAAGTAAACTTTTTTAAATGATTCAGCATGTACATTTTTTCTCAGTTTACGAGGAAAAACAGTGTTTGTTCATCTATTTCTTCTGGTGAAAGTCAATATACCTATGTTATGAAATTCCATTAAAATAGTAGAAAATAGTTTCACTATAGAAACCAATATAGACATCCTGTCTGTAGTTCTTCAGACCCAACATTTACCCAACTTCACAATTTCCCACTTGGCTGGGGAGTCAGTATGGTTCATCTCTGCCCCAGCAGGGAGTCTGCAAAATGGAAGACCAGAGATGGAGAAAATAAACTGATGCTGTTGAAAATAAACATTTATTTTTGTGTGTTTTGCCAGACAGCTTAAGAAGTAGAAGAAATATATCATGTTCACCTAGTGTACTGGATCTAAACTATTGGAAAAGAAAATGTGCACTTACAGGTCTAAATGATTTGAAGACTTTTTCCAGAATTTCATGTAGTGTCTTTTTACCACAAGAAGAAATGTAGTCCTGAGCCAACTGCAGAAAAGGTAAGCAGTCCTCACTTTCACTCCAGACATGCTGAAAGACAAAGCAAGGGTGATGAACCAGAAATGAAAAATGACAACATAAAATGTTATTTGAAACTCTGAAAGAGGAAGATGATATTCTGATGCTCTAGATGTTGCTGAACAACAGGTCCCAGCAACTCTAGTCAGCATGGCCAATAGTAAAGGATGCTGGAAGCTGTTGTTCAGCCATACCTGTAAGGTCATAGGTTCTAATATGATCTACGGAGAGTATCATGAAGAAAGAAGTTAAAACCCTGGCACTATGAATCCCCCATCCCCAAATCCAACCTTCTCTAGTTTACTATTACTATATTATAATTACATTTAAGTCCTACCTTTTCCATGCATAACAGCTGCTATATACACACAGGAAATGCAAAAAAGATATTTCTGCACATGTAGACTATTGTGTGATAAGAGAATGTATACCTTTCACTTATGCACAGGGCTTTTTTTGTCATAGAATGGAGTTCCGGCACCTTTTTTGGATGGAACCTTGTAGGGTAGGCAAGGCGGGTTGTATGACGTGTGTGAGTTCCGGCACCTTTTTTTTTTCTTCTTCAAAAAAAGCACTGCCTATGCAACATGCAAACTCTTTCCTTGTCCATAACATAGCAGATGGACAGGAAACGACCAGGTTCAATGCACAACATTGGCACTGTCAAGCAACTGCCAAGGACTCTCAGCCAAACCCCAGAGCCTCTTGAACCTGCTGATGCTCCTTCTGTTCTTAGCAGTTGAATGCCTGTCCTGAGTGAACAAGTTGTAAGAGTTTGATATTTCTCTTGGCCTTTCCATTTAGTCCCCATTAAGCAAAAAGTGCAAATCAACTTTAAGTAATGAGTAATGCAATTAACTGGAATACTTAATTAAATTACAATTGCAGGTAGAACAAGTGTGGTGCAGGGGAAAAAAAACCCTCCTAAGCCAGTGACGTGCTAAGAGATTTTGTCTATTCACAACAAAACTGATTGTGGACCATTATTAGTTACAAAGCACCAATTTATCAGAAGATGATTGACTATTCCACTCATCATAACACTCTAATTGTCATTCCTTTTTGTTAATTTTTAGCAATTATTCATGCTTCAAACATTGGGCTACAATTGCCATATTTTTTATTTTTTTTAGGAAAGCTCCATGATCTTAGTTTGAACTTGCAATTGCAAATCATTTTTTAAAAAAAATCTAAAATGCCATGCATGGCAATAAATTTGAAGGGCACCAATGGAGATAGATCTTAAAGGCACACATTTTCAAAGACTCAACCCAAGTTTAAAAAAATGAACTTGTTTAGTCAACCTGTAGATTAAGTATTTCAATAAGATCATACTTCCTAAGCTAGCACCTTCAAATATGTTGAATGATTTGATATGCTGGCTAGGAATTTTTGCACATTATGGTTTCCAAACACTAAGAAATACAATTTAACAATGTTTTTTCAGATCTTGTATCAATACATCAAATAACAGCTCAGATTTTAAGATGCTCTAGTGCAGCGGTTCTCAACCTTCCTAATGCCGCGACCCCGTGACCACACACGTACCCACGTGACCCACACGCACGCACCCACGTGATCACACGTGACCCACACGAACGCACCGTGACCACACGTGACCCACACGCACGACCACACGTGACCCAGGAGCATAGAGATGGCTCTCCTGCTTGAGCTAGGGCGACCCCCTCAGCCGGCCGAATCTCGCCGCCGGGAAGGAGAGAGAAAAGAATGGGAGAGGGGACAGGAGAGGGGGAGAAAGGGGGGTAGAATTTAGAAAAGAAAAGGAAAGAAAAAGAAACTTTTGTGCAAAGCTGGCAATCGCGGAGCAAGACGCCCGTTTGGTGTGGAGGCAGGCAAGCCCAGGCGCTGCTGGGCGGCCATGGCAAGCGGCAGCGAGGACGCAGGCCGACCACCGGCTGTGCCACCAGCTGGCCCAGTCCAAGGGAGGTAAGCACCCGCCGGGCCCCACGCGCGCCAGCAACCCTCCCTGCGCCCGCTGCTGCTCCGCTAGCCTTACCTTGGCCACTGCACGTTCGGTGCGGCGGCAGGCCCAGGCGCTCCTGGGCGGCCATGGCAAGCGGCAGTGAGGACGCAGGTCGACCACGGACTGTGCCACCAGCTGGCCCAGCCCAAGGGAGGTAAGCACCCACTGGGCCCCACACGCGCCAGCAACCCTCCCTGCGCCAGCCGCTGTTCCGCTAGCCTTACCTTGGCCACCACACGTTCGGTGCGGCGACAGGCCAGCAGGCCCAGGCACTCCTGGGCGGCCATGGCAAGCGGCAGCGAGGACGCAGGCCGACCACTGGCTGGGCCACCAGCTGGCCCAGCCCAAGGGAGGTAAGCACCCGCCGGGCCCCACGCGCGCCAGCAACCCTCCCTGCACCTGCCGCTGCTCCGCTAGCCTTACCTTCGCCACTGCACGTTCGGTGCGGCAGCAGGCCGGCAGGCCCAGGTGCTCCTGGGTGGCCATGGCATGTGGCAGCGAAGGCGCAGGGCGACCACCGGCTGGGCCACCAACTGGCCCAGCCCAAGGGAGGTAAGGCACCCGCTGGGCCCCACGCACGCCAGCAACCCTCCCTGCACCTGCCGCTGCTCCGCTAGCCTTACCTTGGCCACTGCACGTTCAGTGTGGCGGCAGGCCGGCAGGCCGAGGCGCTCCTGGGCGGCTACAGCACGCGGCAGCGAGTGCGCAGGGCGACCACCAGCTGGGCCACCAGCTGGCCCAGCCCAAGGGAGGTAAGGCACCCGCTGGGCCCCACACATGCCAGCAACCCTCGCTGCGCCCGCCGGCCTCCCACCTCCCACCCCTGGCCCTCTTTTACTTACATTTAGGAGTTGCTCAGCAGGGAGGGGTGGAAACATCCAGAAAGCTCGCCTTAGCTGCAGACAACTTGCAGCACCGTTTGCAGACTGGGACTTTTGGCGGGCTCAGCAGGACAGAGACAGCCTGGACAATTCCTATTGGCTTTTGAAAGCCAATAGAATTAGACTCTTTTAAAGAGAGTCTATTCTATTGGCTTTCAAAAGCCAATAGATTCTATTGGCTTTCGAACGCCAATAGAATAGAGTCTCTTGAATAGAGTCTATTCTATTGGCTTTCAAAAGCCAATAAAATAAGAGGGAGTAGCACAGCTAAGGAAAAGGGAAAAAAAAATAGGAGCAGCGGTTCTCAACCTGTGGGTCGTGACCCCATTTGGGGTCGAACGACCATTTCACGGGGGTCGCCAAACAACGCAGTCCACCATTTTTTTTCCGCCATTTTTTCCCCTTTTCCTTAGCTGTGCTACTCCCTCTTATTCTATTAGCTTTTGAAAGCCAATAGAATAGACTCTGTTCAAGAGACTCTATTCTATTGGCATTCGAAAGCCAATAGAATCTATTGGCTTTTGAAAGCCAATAGAATAGACTCTCTTTAAAAGAGTCTAATTCTATTGGCTTTCAAAAGCCAATAGGAATTGTCCAGGCTGTCTCTGCCCTGCTGACCCCGCCAAAAGTCCCAGTCTGCAAACGGTGCTGCAAGCTGTCTGCAGCTAAGGCGAGCTTTCTGGACGTTTCCACCCCTCCCTCCTGAGCAACTCCTAAATGTAAGTAAAAGAGGGCAGGGGTGGGAGGGGGAGGCCGGTGGGCACAGGGAGGGTTGCTGGCGCGCGTGGGGCCCAGCAGGTGCCTTACCTCCCTTGGGCTGGGCCAGCTGGTGGCCCAGCCGGTGGTCGCCCTGCGCCCTCGCTGCCATGTGCCATGGTTGCCCAGGAGCACCTGGGCCTGCTGGCCTGCCGCCACACCGAACGTGCGGTGGCCAAGGTAAGGCTAGCGGAGCAGCGGCGGGTGCAGGGAGGGTTGCTGGCGTGCGTGGGGCCTGGCGGGTGCTTACCTCCCTTGGGCTGGGCCAGCTGGTGGCCCAGCCGGTGGTCGGCCTGCGTCCTCACTGCCGCTTGCCATGGCCGCCCAGGAGCGCCTGGGCCTGCCGCTGCACCGAACATGCGGTGGCCAAGGTAAGGCTAGCGGAGCAGCGGCGGGTGCAGGGAGGGTTGCTGGCGTGCGTGGGGCCTGGCGGGTGCTTACCTCCCTTGGGCTGGGCCAGCTGGTGGCCCAGCCAGTGGTCGGCCTGCGTCCTCGCTGCCGCTTGCAATGGCCGCCCAGGAGCGCCTGGGCCTGCCGCCGCACCGAACGTGCGGTAGCCAAGGTAAGGCTAGCGGAGCAGCGGTGGGTGCAGGGAGGGTTGCTGGCACGCATGGGGCCCGGCGGGTGCTTACCTCCCTTGGGCTGGGCCAGCTGGTGGCCCAGCTGGTGGTCGGCCTGCGTCCTCGCTGCTGCTTGCCATGGCCGCCCAGGAGCGCCTGGGCCTGCCGCCTCAGCGAACGTGCGGTGGCCAAGGTAAGGCTAGCGGAGCAGCGGTGGGTGCAGGGAGGGTTGCTGGCGCGCGTGTGGCCCGGTGGATGCTTACCTCCCTTGGGCTGGGCCAGCTGGTGGTCCAGCCGGTGGTCAGCCTGTGTCCTCGCTGCTGCTTGCCATGGCCACCCAGGAGCGCCTGGGCTTGCCTGCCTCCGCACCAAACGGGCATCTTGCTCCGCGATTGCCGGCTCCACACAAAAGTTTCTTTTTCTTTCCTTTTCTTTTCTAAATTCTACCCCCCTTTCTCCCCCTCTCCTGTCCCCTCTCCCATTCTTTTCTCTCCTCTCCTTCCCAGCGGCGAGATTCGGCCGGCTGAGGGGGTTGCTCAAGCTCGAGCAGGAGAGCCATCTCTATGCTCCTGGGTCACGTGTGGTCGTGCGTGTGGGTCACGTGTGGTCACATGGGTGCATGTGTGGGTCACGTGTGGGTCATGTGGGTTTGTGCGTGTGGTCACGTGGGTGCATGGGGTCTCGCGGCATTAGGAAGGTTGAGAACCGCTGCTCTAGTGTGAGTACTCTTATCACTGTTGTCTAAATGATCATCCAAAAAAATAAATCTAACCAAAGATGATCAAGCCAAGCTTTGGCAGACTATGAACCACTGAATCCTAGAGTTAG